CAGAGAGTGTTTTGAAATTTTACCATACATTCTACTAGTAAAATGTACGGTAAAATTTCAAAAACTCTCATAACATTCTTGGAAATACCGTGCTGTTCCGCGATTACATGAGTTTCAGGACAAATTTTAAGAACGCATTCTCTCCGCGGTGGGCAGTGGCACGTTTTTAGCTTGCACAACGCCAGTTTAAAAAGACTGCGTTTTATTTCGTATAAAAAAGTACAAAATTATTCTTATACGTATGTACATAATAATACATAGTTAAAAGATATCTACAAGGATACTCCAAGTAATTTGCCACGCTGCGATTCTCGGCCTCATTCTGAAATCCTCATCTTTCTCCCATTTTCACTCAAACCGCATAAAAGAATGCGATCTCGGAAAATCCGTCGTTTTTATACTGTTTCCCCACCAGCGTTTAACCATTGACATTCATTATTGCGTAGTCAGCGTACAGATCTTGGGGTCAATTCTGTATCTTGCGACATAATGAAAGTGCTAAAAGCGAGGAATTTTATCTCTTTCTAAGGGAACAGTTAGAAAGGCTGTAGACTTTTAGCATTCTCACTACAGTGTAAGATACAGAATTGACCACCTGAACGTCCAGTCCTTCATCGCGACGTAAAAGTTAGACTTGATTTAGGTAAAGCCACGAGAAATGTGTTATACTGCACGATGCACAGAATTTGTTTTTCTTTCAATCTGTAACAGAGATAGAATCTTGAATATATTATGTTGCCGCGTTGTAGAGCCCTCCGAAAGAGAAATCCTGCGGTCGGCTGTGGATCAAACATTTTTTAAGATTTCGAAGAAAGCCTTTTTTTACGAGACTAAGTTAATATGCCGAGAAGTTAGAGTCGTCGATGGAATCGGTGCCGTCGGAGTTGCTCTCGGCGGCGTCCACGAAGGCCGTCGAGAGATCGCCTGCCAGCTTGCTGACGGATCCAGAGGTCACGTCGTACATGAAGATCTCCTTGTCACCCTGACCGTCACCGTCTCTCGGCCTAAAACACCGCAGTGAATCCAAGTGAAAGCGCGCAGCCTCATGAATTCCTTGACTTTCGAGTGGACTCGCGAGATGCGGACGAACCGTTGATTGTAATACGGCGGGACGGGAGAATGTTGAAAAGTTAATGGAGCAAGTGATGGCTCGGCACGATACATATAACGTGAGAATGAGAAAATAAAATTATAAACGAGAGATCATCACTGCTGTGAGATTATGAATTTAGAACGTGTTAAAGAATTTTAAAATTGCCTGTGAATAAAATGATGTGCGAAATAAGTGCAAAAGATGGATTTACAAAATTATATTACACCCTCAGAAAAGATTTCTGAGACAAAAAATATTCTTGACGCGTTTATATTTCTCACAACCTCATTTAGCATCAAAATACGACAATATCAAAATAAAATCAATAATTGTTATTCTCCTCTATAGAATTAAAAAAGATTGACTACTATATTGAGGCAAGAGTAACTTATATAAATGCAAGTTTATATATTCTTGCGTTTAGAATAAATGTTCCCTCCATCTTACAACGCACGAAGTTGGCACCGCGATATTCGACAAGAGACGATCATTTTATTCTAGATTTTAGAATTTTTCATTATCGATCCTATTTTATGAGATACATTGAAGTGTAATAGCATTGGATCCGGAAATTTTTTTCTACGGATGTAGATTAAACGTTTAATCGCACGTACGTCCAAGAGGCAAAAGAATAAAGCAAATTTATTTAATCGGTAAAATATGGTAGCCACTTGTACCTCCGAAAGTGATACTTAAACCTAGTTACGCAAAATTATCGATTTCCAGACGCAGACACGAAGTGATGTAACGGAACGATTTTTTAGAAAGCGGCACCGCAGAAACCAAATATCTAAAAGTGGCTGGAGAGGAAAACGAATGAGGACAATCTTGTTACGCGTGCACGCATAATCGAGCACTTACATGGTCACCAGGAGTACGACGGACTGCCTCTGCGGCTCGGTGCGGCTCTCCTGTTCGAGCCACTTCTTGTAGTTCTCCACGGTGGGCTTCTTCACGAGCTGCTTGAGGGTCTCGCCGGCGAGAAACCTGACCGGCTGCGCGTCGCCGCCGGCCTTCCTGCCGCGCCGCTGCGACTCCGCCGCCGCCGCCGCCGCGACCTCCCTCTCCTCGCCGGGAAAGTCGTAGTCGACGGGTGCCAGCACCACGACGCTCGAGATCCTACGGCCATTGAGCTCCGACACGTCCGGTATCGGGAAGGACGTGCCGCTCACTTTAAGCGGCAGATAACGATTATACTGGACGGCATCCCCGCGCGCTCCCACGACGGTCACCGGCTCGAGCCGGGTCGCGTCGTCCCGTATGTGCTGCTCCGCCACGGCCCGGCCTTGCTCCGTATTCGGATCGAAGCGTACTACTTTCATCTCCACGCCGCCGGGCCGCAAGGTAGCCTGTTCGAACTTGGTCGAGCTGCCGCTGGCGTTGGCGGGGATCAGGTTCGTCGCCTTCTTCTGCGTCGTCTTCGTCGACGGCCGTTTGGCGATCGCCGGCACGGGTTCGCTGCCGGCGGCAATTGCCGCTCCGCCCCCGGCGCCGTAGAAATTTGCCAGGGCCTCCGGCGGCAGTTTCTCGATTGGTATGTCGCCGATCTTGTCGTAGTCGAGGATCTGGATGTCGGCGTTGCCCAAAATACCGGAACTAAGTAGCTGCTCCCTGATGTCGTCCGGCACCTCGTCCGGCAGATTCGCAATGTTCGCCTTGATCTTGGCCGCCTTATTTGGCGAGAGCGTCGTCGTGGTAGGCACTTCGGTAGTCGTGGTGGTCGTGGTTGTGGTAGTCGTAGTCGTAGTCGTCGGTAGGAACGTTCTGGCCGTCGACGGCGAGTTAAATCCCTCTTCGGAGAGGCTAACTGGCGTCGCGTAGATCTTCTGCGCGGGATTGTTTTGGAATAACGGCCGGCCCCATATAGATTGCTGCTGAGAGAAAGTGCTTTGCGGTCGTTGCTGCGTTGCCGGAAGATTCTGCGAGAAGCTCTGCTGACTACTCTGATGGGACTGATGCTTCGTGTTTAACTGCTGGTTTAATTGTTGCTGTAAACTATCACCGGAGATAAACTGATTCGTTGGACTCCCAGAGAGTTGCTGGGACTCGCGAAGAGTATTGAACGGTTGCGCGGATACGAATTGGTTCTGGGTGAGTTCGGGAAACGCCGTTGGCTGCACTACTGCGGGATTTGGCGGGAACGGGCCGGGATGAAGGGGATTTTCTCGGATCGCGTAATGCTGTTCCAGCTTCGACACGGCCTTGAAGATTTCACCCGCCGGTCGTTGCGGCGGCAATTGCGGCTGCAATTGTGGCTGCAATTGCGGTTGCAATTGCGGCTGCTGAAGCTGCGCCTGATTATACTTGAGCTGCGCGCGATACCGTTGCTGTTCCTGGAGGAACTTGAGCTCCTGCTCCTGCTTCCGCCTGCGTTGTTCCTGCAAGCGCTGCAATTCCTGCAATCGCTGCTGCTCCTGCAACCGGTGTTGCTCTTGCAAGCGTTGCTGTTCCTGCACTCGCTGTTGCTCTTGAAGCCTCTGGTGCTCCTGTTGCCTCTGAAGTTCCTGCTGTCTCTGCTGCTCCAACAATCTTTGTTGCTCGATCTGTCTCTGTTGCTCCAGGAATCGCTGATGTTCTTGGTGTCGCTGCTGCTCGTGCTGCCGTTGATGCTCCCGTTGCTTCAACAGCTCTTGCTGTCGTCGTTGCTCGTGGTAACGATGCTTCTCCAGTTCCTGCTGTTTAAACGGAGGCAGTGATTGCGGCGGAAGTTCCGCATTGAAGCTATTCGGTCTGGATAACGGTTGCTGCGGCGGCTCCGGATTGAAACTGCCAGGTCTGATCGGTAGTGATTGCGGAGGCGGTTCCGCGAAGTTATTTTGCTGCAACGACAGTGGCCGATTCTGTATATGAACACTCTGATGCGATACCGATAGCGCGGGCGGGAATCCCGGTTGCTGCGGGTGATTAATGTTGACGTGATGCGGCGGCGGACCGAAGCTGTTGAACGTCGCACGCTGCTGTATCTCCGGGAGACCCTGAATCGTTATGGGGTGCCGCTGCAACGGTCTCGACGGCGGTGGCGGGTTCCTCAAGGGTTGCTGAGGCGGAAACGTCTGATGATGCGGCGGCGGTGGCGGTGGCGGCGGCGGCGGCGGTTGCTGCTGTTGCTGTTGCTGCAAGAACGTCGTTGCCTGAGATTGCGGCGGGAACGAGCTGATAATGCGCTGCTGCGGGAACGCGGGTGGCACTCGTGGGGGTTGCGGTGGGGGCTGCAACGGCTGGTACGGCCCGTGCTGTCTCTTCGGCGCACCCGGCGACGTCGTCGGCTTGCTGACGGGCTGCTGGTTGCCACTTCCAGGCGTCTCCAGGTCGCTGCGCTTGCTGTGACTGTTGGGCGGCACTTGCTCGGTGCCGAAGGTCACGCGGATGCCGCTGCTGCCGGAATGGTATACCTCGCTCTCGGGTCGAATAATGGCGCGCAAGGTCGTCGACGGTTCCGGAGGCGGCGCCGGCGTCACCGTGTACGTCGGCTCCTCCCCGTACGGTGCCGGGTTATCCGGTTTAATCTCCTCGTGCTCCTCCACCGGTGTCAGCGCGGGAATCGGCGCATCGTAAACGACGCGAGTCTTGTCCCCGTAGCCCTTCTTCTTTTCGTACTTTACGTAGAAGACCTGGATAGGTTCCTTGGCGGGTCGCGATAGAGGAGGAAGCGGTGGCGGCACCGGAGTCGGAAGAGACTCATTGGACTCTTTGATAATGATCTCGATAATCGGCTCGGGTTCCGTCGGATAGTAGCTCGACGGGTTTTCCTCGTACAAATCGTCGTTCTTCGGGCTCGCCAAGGGGTTGTACAAAGGGTCTCTCTGAGAGTATTGCACTATCGGTTCCATCTGCACCGCATACGGCGGCAGACGACCACCCTTTCGCAGGAAGGCGAGCTGCTGACGCTTGTCACGGTTCTTCGAGCTCTCCTCTTTGGCGAGGATCGCGACGACGACGAGCGTCGCCGTGAGGAGTCTCTGGAAAGGAAAAAGAGATTGTCGCGTTGACAGGACATCGTTTTATATTGCGACGCTCACTATAGTTGAGTCTGATAAATCTGATGTTTGTTACAGTTTCGAAATTTGCGACACGAATATTATTTTCCTTCAAGTTAATCAGTCTTTCTTTTTGGCAGTGTTTTCGACACCTCTGGAAAGTAGCATACGCATTTGCCGTTGTCTAATTGGCGGTGCCAGAGCTTCAAGTGCTGATTAGCATAGTGGACGATAATGTGAATACAAGAAGGGGGAACTTAACGCGCTCTGATAACCGAGTAACCCGTTTAATAACCGGGAAACTCATCGAAAGCCTTAACGGGCTTCGAATCGATTGGTATGCTAGCGAGAACCGAGAAACAGTTAGCCTGATAAGCGATTCCCAGTTGTGACCGTGCTCTCGATATGGCGAGATCGGCCTGCGACGTATCGGATGTTTCTCGTTTCTCTGAAATCGCTCGGTTCCCAAACTTCCACTGTCGGGAGATTGCGAGCTTCCGTGTGCTCTACTGACGGTCTTGTAATCAAGTTACATACGTATTTTTTGTTATTTTATCAAAGAAAATAAATTTCTAATATAAATAATAATTTTCTATATAATAATAATAATTCGGATATATTCTTTCAGTAAAAGTATATTTCGAAACTGCTGCTCTAATTACAATATATAACGAATCGAGACGACTCATAATTAGGTATTGAAATATCGTCGCTATTCTTTTCTACGATTTAAAAAATGCACGCATACATAGAACATGCCTCAGTGTACCCGACTGATGATTTAAAGTCCACCGAGAAGTGGGTGACGGAGAAAGAGAAAGAGAATCAAAGTTTAAGACCCGGCGCGGCGTCGCGTTTCACCTCGAGAATTTGGTGCCTCTCTCGGCGCTGGTTAGCATATTCGAATGAGGCCCCGAGTATTATTTTTACGCGGGGCAAAGCCCGGCCCCGTGCGCCGTAAAACCGACCGTGAGGAAAGCGGGCCCAGACGATGAGACGCCACGATTAAACGGCCGTCGATCTCCGCGGGGGCGATTAGCGGCCGTATCGCTGCCGGTCGCGTTCGCCACGATTTATTAGAGCACTTTCCCCCGTGCGTGAGAGCCGATACGCTCGCTGATTACAAATGATAGAACCTCAGAACCCCGGCACCGCGCGCGACACGCTTATTACGTGTGATGAAAGTACAAGCGGCTCCGGTCCACCCCGCGGATTCACCCTCCCGTTATAATTACCAGCATGGCGAACCGCATTGCTGCGATTGTTCTTCGGGGCTCTTCCTCGTGGGGAGATTCACACTCACACACACTTCTCACCGGCCGATTCCTCGCGTTAGAGGCGGCTGACTCGCGACATGACACCGCTCGAGACGATCGGACGTGTCTTGGCTGAACGGTACCGAGCGGAACCTCGCATGGGAACTGAGGACAGTTCGGGCCCAGGGGCCCGTTTCTCCCTACTCGATGCCACCACCACCGGCGGCCACCGCTCTTCAAGAAGCTCCTCTCTAATATCGAAGACGGTGGAGCAGCACCTTTCTCCGAGGGGCCCCCTCGACGCTCGTTGGTGTCCGCCGTACACGTGGACGCGTACGTGGATGGTAGGGAAGCGGGGGGGGGGGGAGGGAGGAGAAAAAAAAAGGAAAGAGAAGATGCGCGGCGCGTGGAATGTATCTTCTTGGTACGCACAACTTTCTTCAAAACCGCCCGACCACGCGATCGGCCGTAGAGGGGACGATTATACTACAAGCGTCCTCACTTTTCCGCGACCTCCAAGGCCCATCGAAACTGAAACCTCACCTTTCCTCCTCTTCTCGGCGAGGGGCTGCTCGGCGAGAGAGCGTGATGGATGCTTTAACGTTACCAAGCCCGAGGGGAGGTGGATTACTTTCGCTACGGTACTAGGCTTGCGGGCCACGACTTCCTCGAGGCAAGTGATCGTTTCCGATCTGTTCGATAATCCTCGCCCGCGAGAAAGGACGTAACCCGGTCGAGTCGGATGTCGCCCCGCAAATCGCACGACAATTATTCGAACTGGACGCTCCTGCCCACGAACGGTCAGCTTGATGGACGGATACAATTAAGGCGGCTGCAATTATAATATCATTAGCATCTCTAGGCTCCCCGACTGTGACGGACCTTACCTCTCTCGGGATAATAGTCGCGCCGACTTTCATGAACGTCTCTGCACAGGCAGATTGCACGTTGCTGCAAACGAATTCTCCGAAAACGATGCAATCTCCGTTGATTTCGCAGAAGCGCGCGCGCGCGAGGAGACTTTTTCTCCATTCTCATGGAATATTATATTCCACAGCGGAGCGCGCGATATCGCGCAGGTGGATTGACAAAGATTGATCGCGCTGTTGCATCGCGCGATACAATAACGCGATCAATCTTCTCTTTTCGCCTGCACTTTCAAAACATATTTCTAAAACTTTCATATATATATATATATATATATTGTAATTGTTACTAATTGTTAAAGGTGCAAACATATCTTTGAAAAGATATATATAAGACTTTTCTTTATACACTGATAAAAAATATTACTTTACTCAAGAAAATTATTCATTAGGTGGCTCCTAATAGCTTATTAACTTCAATTTGAAAAATAATAAACAAATTAAAACACGCATTGCTTTAATTGAAGTATTTATTAAATATTAAATAGATAATTTTAAATTTAAAAAATTTTATTTTAATTCTATAAAATGTTTAAGACGTAAGATGTAATTTTTACAGCGAAGAAAATTGAATTTCTTATTTAACAAAAACAATTATTTCATTTAACAAATAGTATTCTATATCTCATGAAATCTTTATTTGAATGTAGAAAATGTAATGATTTAAATTAATTTACTTAATATAATATTATACATAGATTTACTTGAAATGTGATATTTTTATTGAAATAGAATAAATATTTACTTCAATAAAAAAATAATTTTAAGTAAATCTGTTTACTTAGTTAAAACATTTTTTATCAGTGTAGATATGTTAAAAACATGTGATCTACATTCGGAACTAGGAACTTAATTGTCTCTCTCTCCCTTATCTCTTTTATAGAAGAGATCTCGCATAGCGCAAGTCGTTATTCAGATCCTCTTACGCCAACGTATGACGGATGATTCTGACCTGATAAATTACATTTTTCCGAGCACGATGTCGAAGTTGCCAAGGCGTGAGGTAACTCGCTCGCAAGAAATCACACAGGAGATTGTGTACCTACGTATATAAGTCATGTTCGTCGTTGCGAAAGGTGGAGATTTAGTCGAGCAATTGAAGGAGATGACCCGCTACAGACCTCCCCCTGCCGTTGCAAAAGTGCCCGGCAAGTGTTCCGCAGACGTCTCGCGTTCGCGTTTGCGCAACCTGCCTCGTTCCAGATCGGCCGGATCATCAAAGCCGATGATTTTCTACCGTGTCCATTTTCTGAGCCCCTTAGAGACTCGCTCGGAGCGAGAAAACGCCAGAAACGGACGGCGGGCGAGTCGTACAATTTCGAAAGTCGCGAGAGAATCCGCGCACGGGCGATTCGTTGGCTCTTTCCTTTTTATTTCCCCCGTATTTCTTAAATATCGGCATTCATTAATTTCGGCGCTAGCCAATGTCCGGCACCGGAGGATTTGAGTCCCCGGGCATCGGGATACTGGACGTCGCGCGTCCTACTTGCGAACTTTCACTTATACGTTGGCGTAAGAGGGTCCGAATGGCAGCCGGCAGGCTCGAAGATGAATACAGGATCCATCTGTCGGCCGCGGGAGGGTCAGTGATCCGCGAGCCAAAGGCGATATTTCACGCTGACTTATCGCCGTTTCGCCGGAAAACGATATCGTTTCTTGGACGTTCTCCTAAGCGTACATAATTTTCGCACGCGAGAACGATTTATCACTTTTCCGCGGCGCTACGCGGATGACGCGTTGGTATCTTAACTATTTCTAATCTGCTTACTCGGTCGACTCCGGTATTTTCCGAGGAAGCTCTCTCGCGGAACGTGACAAGTGTACACTGTCGCGTAACCATCCAACTTTCCTTCCATTGTAAAGTTAATTACTTAATTCCCGACGTCAAATAATTTCACGAGTCAATCGTAAAATTTAAATCTCCGCTCGAGTGGCAGCTATTCGCAGCAGAGCTAGATTGCGGAGCGAGATCTCGCCATTTTCGAGTTTCTTATTTCCTATTCAAAGTAAGTGCAATTAAGGTAATACAGCTGTGCTTCATTGAGATCGCGTTACTAACAATCCACGATATCCCGTCGATGTTAATCGCAGGAAATGTTGTACAACAAGTACTAAACGTCTGCTTAGAAAAACTATGTTTCGTGTAGAAACGACACTTTCTAATCGGCCTACAATACGACCGTCACAATTATCTCTAATTAAATAAATCTTTAATTCAAGATCACTGCTCTTGCAACATCGGAAATTTAACGACGCTCTATCGCCGTGCATGTACATCTTACGCGCGTGTTACACGTCTTGTATTATGTTATTACACGGGTATTGCATCTGCTATCGAGCCGTCTATACACGCACGAGGAGCGTGGAAACTCGCTCGGAGAACCGACGGCTGTCGCGAGGTCCCCGCGATTGCGAGACCGATCCTCGTAACAGCGATGGTAAAAGATTGCGAATTTGATTCTCCCAGTTCTCACGAAAGTACGAAGGATACGATCCTCTTATACGAGCGCTAACGATATACGGTTCTTCGAGAGCAGTCCGCTCATGAGCAATAACGTAACTGTTGAAGAGTGAAAGTGCCGCGAAGTGGGACGCCGCGGGAATAGCGCTCGCACTTATAATTAATAAACAAAAGCCTGCAAACGGTTCTCATCGTCCATGCGACTCTGCATTCAATGCGACATTTTCTTTTTATAGGACCTTGCCGAGCAAGTAGCTATCCGTCCCCCGGTTGGTGATCGAGACCTTTCTCACGCTCGCTTTATTCAGGAATCCCGCGCGATCGTTATAGGCAGAGATAACGATCGAACTATGAACATTTATAGAATTTAAGCCACGGTTAGAAGCCGATAAGGCCTGTTATACAACACGTATGTCGCTGTCGAACGTCGGGACGTAGCCGATGGTCCGACGAGAAAATTTCTTTTCAAAACAAAAATTTCCTACGTCCCGACACATCCGACAGTGACATACGATGTATTGTATAACAGGCCTAGGTAAATAGCTTCCGGATAGTTCGTAGTCATCTTTATACGTTCCCACGCTTGTAAAAGTATTGTTCAAAATATTAAAATCACTTATGTTAAACCACACTGTATTCTTTTCACTGAGAATTTCACAGCGGATTTTAGAGAAAGAGAAAGGGGAAGATAAAGTTAGTTTTAAAAATGACGGAGAGATCAAGATTAGATTAAATAAATAATCAGAATATAGTCGGTTCAAAATATTAAAACCGTTTCATGTTAAATCGCAATGTATTTTTCTCCTCCTGAAAATTTCAAAGTGGATTTTAGAGGAAGACAAAAAGATAAGGTTAGTTTTACAAATAACGGAGAGATCAAGATTAGATTATATCTCTCGTGACAACTTTGCGCTGCGACACAATTATATGTTTTCCGATTTTCTCTCATCCTCTCGCTTAATTCTCATAGCATATGCATGTATATGTCATTTACAGTAATCAGATTATCAAATACGCGGATCGGACCGCTCGTCTGCGGTGACCCAGTTCATCAAGGTGGAAAATTCTCACTCGCGTTTTTCAACGTGAGAAAAACATTTCATAAGCCGCAAGGGTGTTGCGCGCCATAGGCGTTAAAATCTCGAGCCTTGACTAATTAAAGAACGGAGCCAACCGAAACTGACACGCGATGTAATGCGCTCATAAGTTACGCGGATGACTTTTATCTCTGGAGAGAGAGAGAGACAGAGAGAGAGAGATAGGGGGGAGATTTACGGAACGATAAGCGTCGCGCGCCTTATTTTTTTTTTAAACTGGAGATTAAAACGCCGGCCACCGTGTGCCGTCCGTCGTGGAGAGAGGACGTCGCTCCGGCGGCTATTCTCGGCTATCGACAGCACAAGCGGAAAATGCATAACTGCGTTATATAATTACACACCGTGGACTCGTATCAGACGAAAAATTGCCGGTAATTGACGTTACGCCCGATGCACTTTCTATTTCAGGCGCAGCGGATTCTCACTTCGCGCCGCAATCAGCGCGAGTCCGCCCCCTCCCCCGCCGGGGACGGAAAAGGGAAAGAAAATCGCTTTCCATTATCCACTCCAATCGATTAAAAATATTGGACGGCGGTTTTTCCGAGCGCCGTGGCGTTATCACGGTCAATTTAATAAATCATAAAGAAGCGTGAATAATAATAAGCATTAACTTTCTCCTCCGGCTAAATCACTCGTGCCACACCACTGACGTGCGCGCGCCGGCCGAGACCCGCGGCCACCGGCCGGTAAAATCGCCGAATCGCCCAATTCGTTCGACGTTTTTGCGGTATATCGGCACGAGCCGCGGGAAATGCCGGGAAAAATACCTGGAATCCGTAAACACCGTGACGCGCGCAAAATTCGCGTACACGTGCTACACTTTCCATCTCGCGTGCGACAAATCAGCCGTCACGCGTGCGTTCGCGTGCACGCGAGAATGCGCGGCGCGCGACGCGTGACTTTCTAATAAATAATTTCCGACGATAATAGATCAAAAAGGAAGATGCACGTCGGTGCCGCGAAGGTAAACAGTATCGGTCACTTTTTCTCTTGAAAAAAAAAGAAGAAAAGACGAGATTTTTACATCTCGCGAGTCAACTTGTCAAGTTCTAAGAGTAGTAAACAGTATTACGTCCATGCAGTTTTGCAGAAAACGATATACCGTGTTGAGTCCTCTTCCCTGTCGGAGGAAAAACTGCGATACAACAGGAAGCAATTATTTATTTTCCTCTAAAGGAAGCTAATGAAGAACATTAGCGGAAAAGTTGACTGATAGCAAATTCGTTGCTCGCACTAGTGCGCATTTATAGTCAATTCTTATATTTGGCAAATAGAGTTAAATAGGACCATTACGATATAAATCAAACAAGCGAGAGCGCCTTTAGGTTCGAGCAAGATGTCGGTAGCCCAATAATTGTAATTTAAAATGTGTATTTGTGTACCGTTTTCCACCTTACCTACCGGAAAAATTTCTATAAACAACTACAAAAAGTTGACTCAAAATAGAAATTTGCAGAAATTTTTCTATCTTCGTTGAAACATTAATTTTTTTGTAAAAATATCTACGAAATAGCGCCACAAATCACAATGTTCTCAAATCAAGAAATTATTGCAAGTAGTATTTCATGAATATGTACAATTTTGTGAAAATTAGTACAAAACTTTACTAGTTTTACAAATTTGAGAAACAACAAAATCTTAAAGAATTAAAACATCTGCCTACTTGTAGAATATTACAAAAATTAACAACAGTGTTCCAATTCTAGCATTTTCATGTTGATTTTTATTATAACACTTTTTAGATTTACGTAGAATTTCTTAGATTCTGGCAGTTGTATTTAACTCTTTTGTAGAATTTTGTAGAATTATTTCCGGCAAGGTTGTCCTGGGCGCCGGTTTCTTTCCGGACATAACAGTTTCATTTGTAATTACTGACGACAATGATTCCATCTAAAGGTGCTCTCGCTTGTTTGTCTTATATTTAAGTTTGTCTCAAATACATGTTCAAAAACTATTTAGCAAAAAAAAATAATCCGCTCGGATGCTGTACAGATCATTTTTCTGGGTCAGAAATATTTCAAGAGATATTTAAGACGACTCTTAAATATAAGTATTGACTGTAAACAAATCTTTATAGTGCACTCGGTGCACACTAGTGCAAGCAATTAAATTTGCTACGAGAAAAGTCGAAGTATGACGCTGACGTCAAATTGACTGAAAAACTTTCGAATGACTACTCCGTAAAAGTCTACTGCCATTGACAAAATTATTAGGCAACCTCCTGACCAATACACCGCAAATCTAAGTGTGCTCCTTTTATACACGTATATGTGTAATTTGGTGGAGCACTTTTTGTACACTTTCTTCTGTTTAAAATCGCATTTATACATTGCTTACCGTTTAAAAACAATCTTTTCAAATGTATCAAATAACGTATGTCGAGTCGTATGTTGCGATTTTAAATGGAAAAAAACGTATAAAAATTTATTTTACACATTTTTTAATAAAAATTTATATTACACTTAGATTTCCAATGTATATTGTACTGAATCTAATACGAGAAAGATTTTTATTGTTTAAAAGTTGCTCACCGCATAGAAGCAATGAACGCTTTACTAAACAATTTTTAAAACAGAAATTTTCCAAGCGCTAGATTCAGTACAGTATAACCCAGATAGCACACGTAGTTCTATGAATGTTCTTCTGGAGTGCAAATATTCTTAATTTCAGATTATTCCATAAATATACACATAGATTATTACAATTATAAATCGTACATTCGTCGAGAATGTCTTTGGAATATTCGTTCTCGAATAATTTTTTAATATTCATCGAGTTTATGTATTGCACATTGTTTATTGTGTAATACACTTATCTTATGCAAAAGGCAGTGAAACCCGTGATCATACCATGTATAACCGATACGCTATATTCGATAGATTATTCTATTCACATTCGAAAAAGATTTATAGTAGTGCCCATACAGCACCAAAGCTTTCAGAAACTTTTCAGAAAACATTGTTGCAATGTTGCAATGTTTCTCAGAATATTTGGAATATTCCATAGGTCATTCTTATATATTTATCTTATGTTAGTGGAATATTCGACTCCCGTACAGCACCGAAGCTTTCAGAAACATTTTAGAAAACATTGTTGCAATGTTTCTGAAAGCTTTGGTGCTGTATGGGAGTCGAACATTTCACTAACATCGATAAATATATAAGAATGACCTATGGAATATTCCAAATATTCTTGAGGAATAGTCTTAAAATGTTGATGGGAGTGTCTTGTGCTATCCGGGGATCGATTAGAATTCCATAGGTCATTCTTATACAATTTATCTTATGTTAGTGAAATGTTCGACTCCCGTACAGCACCAAAGCTTTCAGAAACATTGCAACGTACATTGCAACCATGTTTTCTAAAATGTTTCTGAAAGCTTCGGTGCTGTACGGGAGTCGAATATTCCACTAACATAAGAGGGTGCATAATAATTTCGTCAATGGCTGTACCCCCGATGCACCGGCGTGTGTACGATGCACGCAGCTGCGAATTAAACGAGGTAAGTCTAAATAAAAGTTGACTCGTCAATACAAATGTTAAGGCGTAAAAAGGCGTCGCAAACTGAGGGTTGATTCTGTACCTTACCCTACAGTAAAAATGCTAAAAGCGAGTATAGCTTTGTCTCTTTCCAACCGTTCTCTTAGAAGAAGACAAAGCCGCTCACTTTTAACATTTTCACTATATTGCAAGATACGGAATTGACCTCCTGATGTGGGTAAGCGATTAACGCGGGTAGAGGTAATGCATGTTTACTTCGCAAATTCGAAAATGGGAGGGAAAGGAATCGCTGAGATAGGCGCGCGATGTCCGGGGGCGATGCGAAACTATCCGTCGGTCACGACGCGCAACAATGGCCGCTCCCATGGTTACGTGCACATGCAGAACCTGTTCCAAGACTCGCGTAACGCTCGAGAGAATCTTCAGCGTCCTAGACACTTACGGCTGGTTGTTAGACTCGTACGTCGTGGTACGTAATTGAAAGAGAAATACGCACCCCCCCCCTCCCCCGCCCCATTTCTCTCCTTCGAACCTATGAGTCGCATAAAATATTGTGTCGTTGCAAGTGCACCTGATACACGTTTCACACGTCTCCCGTCTGTCATCTTTCACTTAATCTTTTGGGAACAACGAAATCGACCTCGAAATCTGGCGAATCGCATTGCAGGACTTCTTCCAAGAGCAACTGTGGGAGAAACTGCCGAGCAGCTGGAGGAGCACGCTGCAAACCGTGTCGCCCGACGAGTTCGGCAAGTGGTTAGCTGGCGACATCTCGTGGTGAGCGCGCGATCTTCGTCGGCAGGCGCCAGAGGGGCTCGATTTTTGAATTCATTCCAAGGAGAAACGTAAGGCGAGAATCCCGCTCCGACAGAAAAGTTGAAGGGATCGATTGGCTGAAAGCCAGAGCCGAATTTTCGCATACGTTTCTCTGTCGGACGATTTCAAGAATCGAGCCCTAGCTATTTCGTTCTACATTTTGTGTATCATACATGTTTTCACACGGGTGAGGGGGTAGGGAACGCGCAGTCTATTCTTACTATGTCTATGGGTGTCGCCGGATGAGATTAGAAGTGATTAGAGGGTTTGATGGCGGCGACACCCTGTAGACACACAGACGTAGTACGCGTACTACTTTAGTTGCCCTGCAAGATATGGCGGTGCTCTTGCCGCTCTTTTAAGCTCAAAGCTAGCGGTCTAGTGGTATACAGAAATCCGTGGTGTCGACTTGTCTCGCTAAATGGAAAGCACCGTGGAACTGCGGTTGATGTTACACCTGACGTTACAAATGCTTCGAAGCGCTCTTATTCTCTTTCCTTTCAATAAAGAAAGGAGAAGAACGCTTCGATGCATTTGTAACACCAAATGGATTCACGGATTTCTATAATCTTATAAATCAAACGGATACTTTCACACTGAAAAAAAAATCTGGTAGATTCAACCAGTCGTCTGTTAGAAAATGGACGAATCAGAATTCCCTTTAGGATTTACCAGATTTGTAGTGAAGTCTAGCAAACTTCTGGTTATGAAATATCTTTCATGGTAAATCCTAAAGGAATTCTGACTCGTCCATTTTCTAACAGACGACTGGTTGAATCTACCAGATTTTTTTTTCAGTGCATGGATAATTATTTTACATATCAACGTCTTCTTAATGAGAGCCATAGTGTAACTAGTAGGTCCACTCTCTGCCGGCCCCTTTGATCTTCGCGGAGTGGACCTACTAGTTATACTATGACGAGAACTGAAACCACTGGAATTTGCCAAATGAGATCACTGGAATTCGTACTGACGTCACCACTCCTTGCTGATTGTCCCTTGCCTAAAAGCTCGTCGATAAGATAATCTCTATAGTTTAGTAACCGTCTAGTTGTCGATATGACCAAGAACGTTTAGTTGGCAGTATTTCTTTAGTTCAAATATGTATTTTCAGTGAAACATACGTCATTTATCGAAACACATTTTTTTTAATTAACAAATATTTGCACCCGTGACTGCCACATACAATAGAATTAAGGTCCTTTTTTTAATTTAACACTTTTTGTCAGATTAAAAGTTGAAAAAGAATTTGCTTTTATGTCACCAAGAACTCTTGTTCGGATACGATATCTCTGAGCTCTTTTTTGGATACGAAAGAATTTATTTTATACTCTACAAGAACTCGCGCCGGAAAGAAATTCTTTCGAAATTCATTTTGAGCAGATTATGTTAATAAAGAATTTAAAAAAGCGAATCCTTTTTGAGTTCGTGACGATCGCCTGTGCTATTTATGGCAACATAATTTTAGCGTGATATGATAATAATAAATACATATTTATTAGCAAATTACTAATTTTTTTTTCTTATTCCCTATGTGGAAGGAAACGTTAGATGACAATTTATGCAGTTAACAATTTCGCTATAAATCCTGATTTATTCGAATTCGAGTTTGATTGAAGTCATCCTCAGACCTCAGACATGCGATGTAACGATTTTGATAATCTTTTCCTCAGGTCTGACGCAAATACATTTTTAACGCGAACCCGAGGCAAGAAATGTATTGCGAAATATCTACCTATAATTTGACAATGCAATTTATGTTGCAGCTCTCGCGTATGGCCACTGTCGCTGCTCGCGCTTCGACAGGTCGCTAGAAATTTGCAGCTGAATAGAGATCATCGAGATGACGGGAGCGCCTGGCGATGCGACGGGGGGAAAAAGTTCAAATGCAGTTCGGAAAGTTCCGCCTTGGGAGATAAGGATGAGGGATTGCGCGACACACCCGCTGCGAGCAGGCACGACAATCTCTTTCTGAAGCACGTTAAACGAAAGAAACGGCACGAGATACAACAAATAGCGCGGGTATAGCTGCACGCATTTCCAAAGTATTTTGCCTTAGATCAGACGCGAAACATTTATATACCAGGCCCTGCAGGAGTTTATCTTTGCGCAGATATGCGCGGACTGTGCGCGCGACTCCAACGCCAGGTGCATTGTGGACGTTGGCGCGGGCGTGGGTCACTTGGCGCGATCCTTGGCGTTTAAATACGACCTACACGTGATATGCATCGAACAGGATGCATCACTGTCACAGCAGGCCAGGTAGTCCGGCATTACGTCATCGACCTCTCCAGTATTTCTTTAATTCTCAGCAATCTTGACGTATCATTAATAATCTCACAATCCCTTCCCAGTAAACACCAACTAACAATTGCGTAGCATCAATATTATAATTTCTCACTCAACAATATAAATGTAATGTAACACACGTTGTACACAACAGTTACATTGTCGAAGTCGGAAATTATATTATTGATGCTGTGCAACTGCTAGTCGGTGTTTACTGGGTTCATTGTCGCATACGCCATTTTTAATTATAGGAAATGGGATAACGAATTGTTAATGACCCTGTCTAAACATTTGCCTGACTTGCCAGCAAACGCGCCGCAACACGTGTCGATCAAACTGGGAAATATCAACGCCGATCAGTCAGGGGCGATCAGGGACATACGGGGGATGTTCCCCGATAGCTTTAATTTGACCGAGAAGCAATCCGAGTTCGGCGTTGTCGGGCTGCATCCATGCGGAGATCTCGCGGCCACGTTGCTGAGACTTTACGCGTCTCCGTGCGGGCCAAAATTCATTTGCATCGTGGGGTGCTGTTACATGAAGCTGACGTTGGAGTACGTCCGCGAGGCATCCAGGGTGAATTATACATCTTTTTACAAGTAGCCGGCCATCGCGACGCGAATCTTGGCGGCGAGACGCAAGCCCGCGGGCAGCGATGTGTTATGATCTCGGCGCTCATTTATTAGCTCTAAGAAATTAATTTCTCGTTTATTATTGATCGCAAAATGGTACGGGACTTTCTCGTTTATCTCAGTTCGTTCTGTCTTCTCACGAGTTCTGTAAAAAGATGTATAATTCACCCCGTATATCCATAGAATCGCAAGATTACGATGGCACTAAATAATGTGACGCATTTTAGAAATCCAGCGGATATTTCAAACGGCTATCCACTCAGTAGATATCTGTCGTCATTTGCAAAATGCAAATTATCTTACACAGCGCTAGAAGTGGCGTGCCATGCTATCGAGAGTTACTGCGATAAGCTAAAAACTGGGGACTATGAGGATCTAATAGTTGAGTATCGTAATACTTATTACTTATATATTATTATATATTGTTTTATTTATATATTATATATATTATATATTTTTAATTTATTATTTATTTATATTTATATTATTACGTATTTATAAATTGCGTGGTTGTAATAGTTGTGGGTGATATAATACTGAAGTGGTAGAAGTGCGTTATTAAGTTGCGCATTTTTTTTTTAGGTGCACGCTTACAGAGCCGCTCTAGAGACCATTTTGATAAAACGAAGCAGCCAGCTGCGTCGCACTCAAGTGAGGAACGTTAAAGTAAAGACGAGATCCGTTACCTTTGAACAGTTGAGTGAAATGCCCGTTACAGTTATCGAAAATTGACGCGCAGTTCATACCAATAATAATCGAGATTATTTTTTTCAGATACTGCGCGGCCGCAACCGCAGACTTCGAGCCGAATCACCGACCCGGAGGCTCGGACTTTCAAAATCCGCGGATAAAGTCTTATCTGAGCCAGTGGCGGCAGATTGTGATATTTGGAGCGTTGCGTACGATGTTGGCACCTTTGGTGGAGACCGCGGTGTTGCTGGACAGATTTCTGTATCTTTCCGAAAGTGATTTATCTCCAATACTGAAGCCTATTTTCGACCCCAGATTGTCTCCTCGAAATTTTTTACTGTTCTCAGTGAAAAATACCGAACAATCGCCCTGTTGATTATGTCAGAATTTTTTAATACTTTTTACTAAAATATAAAAATCAATTATCGAATTAAATTGAATGTCAATTTGATGAATCCTCTCTTGTTGATAAAAAAGTGCCCGTAAAAGATCAGTCGATGAGAATTCTTCAAAAATTTCCAAAACCAATTTTAGTCGCACCTTTACCGAGAAAGAAGGATTTATTGCGGAACATGGGCCAAACTCTCTTCGACTCTGGTTGTCGCGACAACTTCCGGGAATTATTAAGTACCGGCCGTGTGCCCAACATCTGTACGAGAGAGAAAGGTGAAACGGGAAGCACACGTTTGCATAAGTGCATAAGGAATTTGATTAATCCACTTCCTTATGTATTTGCTTATGGATCAATCAATTTCTTTATGCATACGCTTATGCCATGCACTCATAGACTTCTATACTATATACTACTAGACTGCTAGCTTCGAGCTAAAAAGGGAAGCAAGAGCACCGCCATATCTTGTAGGGCAAATAAAGTAGTAAATGCCTTTGCACGTAAAAACGTGTTAACCGTAACCGTAATTTTAGTCCGTGCAACCCAACTAAAATTCCGTAACCTACGGAATTATACTTGGATTGCTCCATTTGTCTGTACGTGTTGAAAACTACGATTACGGACTAAAATTACGGTTACGGTTAACACCTTTTTACGTGCAAAGGCCTTAAGTTTTTAAGCGGAGGGAGCACAAACTTTTGCATAAGTGCATAAGCAGATACATAACGAATTTGACTGGTCCATTTCCTTGTGCATTTGCTTATAGACCAATCAAATTCGTTATGCATATGCTTATGCACTTATGCAAAAGTGTGTGCTCCCCGCTTAAAGGCCTTCACACACAAAATTCCGTAAGGGCGTAAAACGTAAGCGTAAGAAAATCGACCAATCACAGTCGAGAACGTAAGGCGATAACGCAAGCAGTAGCAAATCCAATCTGTTGATTTTCTTACGCTTACGTTTTACGTCCTTACGGAATTTTGTGTGTGAAGGCCTTAACTAGACGTAAGGGAGGAACAGTAAGCGCCATATTGGTGTGGCCTACTGGAGCGCGACATTTGAAATAATTTCATTTCTTTTAATGTACAATGTACGAAATCTTTAGATAATTTTATTTCTTATAATGTACGTAGTTGTAAAAACTTGTAATATGTTAAGCTTTTCCATTTAAACAAATAAATCGTACTTTATAAACTTAATATGTTTTTAACGTGGACCAAGTTCTAGCATCGCAAGCCAATGCCCTCCGAAATATTCGCTCCACCGAAATATATACTAACTGGAACGCGCGCTAGAGCCGAGTCGTGCGTCCACTAAGGCTGGTATTACATTTGTCGTACGACAAAGTTTTTAAGCGTATTGATTGGCTGAAGGATAGTAAAATTCTCGAGTATCTAGAAACTTTCTATTCAGCGGCCAATCGACACGCTTGAAAAATTTGTTGTACGACAAATGTAATAGTACCCTAAGAGAGCATCGTCGAGTGGCGTGTCTGTCATTGTCTGGTTTATAGGGTGGTCGAGAGTGGGGACGGAAAGGTACAGTATAAACCAGACAATGACAGACGCCACTCGACGATGCTCTCTCTCTGGACGCACGACTCGGCTCTAGCGCGCGCTCCAGTTAGTCCCAGTCTACAATAGAGATTTAAGCCCTAAGCCTTAAGAAATTGACTAATCACAGTCGCGCATTCTACTCATACTTGACCGTGATTGGCCAATTTCTTAAAGCTTAGGGCTTAAATCATCTATTGTAGACTGGGACTTAGTATACTCGTATATTTCAGTGATTCACTCCGTCGGACTGTCTGATCTCCTACCTGGTTTGTATCAGATTTTTTTTCTCTTATCCTTTTTTATCTGAAGACAACTCAATATTAAATAGCTCTGCTACTTACATTATAGTACAAAAATGTATGCCTTATTAGTCTTATATCTATATGGTATGTGGTCTGAGAGACACTTTTTATAAGTCCACAGACATAATGTAAACCTGCTGCAATAATCGGGTTTGTTTATTGACCCTGTAAAATAGTCATTGTATATTGGTTATTAAATAAACGACTTCAAATACAAATCTCCTACCTGGTCGTCATGGAGTGGGGAGTCGGAACATAATTGGAGCGAGTGGCACGTCGCGGGACCAAATTAGCCAATGAACGTGCGATGCTCGGTGGGCGCATGGGCGGTATCTATGGCCAATATTCACGGTCCGTTCTTATTTCAAATTCGTTAAGCAATGCCTTAAGATGCTATTACAACTCTCGGATTGGTTTAAAATGCACATTAAAACTATACGTAAGATGATCTTAAGCACGGACCATGAAATACCGGTCTATAAAAGCTGTGCATGCGCTCTCGTCGGGTTTATCGCGCGTCGTTCAGCCACGCGTCGCATTTCGGGCTGGTCTGCACGAACCATCGCGACGACGGCCATGCGAGGCGTTCCGTGGCGCCACCAGCAGAGCGCGTCGCGGTAGCCGGTCGCGAATTCGCACGGAGCGTCGACGTTCCTCCGGTGAGAGGTCCAGTTTCCTTTAAGCCGCTCTCGCGCGTTTGTCTGTTCTCGTCGCGTCGTGCGTCCTACCGATTATTATTTTCTCCTCCTCCCCCCTTCCCCGTCCGCGTACACGAGACCGTCGGCACGGTGTTAGAGGTATCGCGAGCGGTATACACAACTCGCGTCGCCGTCGTCGTCGTTGTCGTCGTCGTCGTTGTCGCCGTCATCGCCGTCGCCGTCGCCGTCGCTGTCGCCGCTGTCGTTGTTGCTGTTCCTGCTCCCGCTGTTGCGGTAACTGTGGTGCAGCGAGCAAGTGCTCCGTTTCGAACTCGCATCGCCCGGTGTAACAACGGAGGATGGCGTTCAACGGAGACGGTCCGCACTCAAAGAGGCAAAGGCTGGAGGAGTCCGGACACAGGGTGAGTGTGTGTGCGCGCGCAAATTACTATCCACGCGCCGCGGTCGCGTCCCACGGCCGTCCACGCACCGCGTCCGCGTCCGTCCCTTCGTCGAAGGGCCGACCCCGCGCGGGCTCTTCCTCCGCGCCGACGGCGATCGAGGGGGAGGGAAGCGCGTCGCCATTTATCGGCGCGATAATCGGCGGCCGCGGGAGCACGGCGCGATGCGCCGCGCGTGTCTCGCCGCCCGAGTACGCGAGTTTTCGCAGCGACGCGCGGGGCGCCATTTACCGCGCGGGTCCCGACATACGGTTACGGCGTGTAGCGTACGTATACCGCGACGCGACGCGACGCGACGCGGCGCCTCGCGTCGCGCGTCGGACAACAACTCGCCCGTCCCTCCGCTAGACAGTCGAGAAGCGCTCCGAATGCTCCGACGCGATCGGACGATCGTTCCTCAATCGAGCGGAGTATCGTAATGTCTCTCTCCCCCCCTCCCCTCCCTTGTCCCGCTGCGAATGACGCGCGGGGCCCCCGTTCGCGTAAAATGTCCGTCGGGGCCTTTTAAAACTCGGCTTCTTTAAAACTCGCGGGAATCTCGTTCGCCCGAGAATCGCGGCCGTGGGAAGGTTATGACGATGGCAAAGGGCCTGAGCAGAGACAGATTATCGTAACCGTTTACGATTCTGTCGTAAGACGGTGTCGGAAGTCCAACGCGTTTATCGCATCGCAAGGCGACATACGTCTAGGACAGTTCTTCGTGCGTTGACTTCCGATACCGGCTTAGGTCTTACGACATAATCGGTTACGACAATGTTCCCGCTCGGGGCCCGAGGAATGATCTGTATTACATCTGTCCAAAGGCTGGTCTACAACACATGGAGTAAGGAATAGGAGTAAGGAAATAAATGCATGTTATTTCTTACTCCTACTTCAGCCCTTAGGTTGACTCTCGGTGAATCAAAATGCCATTAATCAGTGTTACAAATATTTTAAAAACCATGCCCGTATTTTAGCTTCCTTACACCAAGAGCTAGAAGTTGTGGCTCTCTCTTTACTCCAAGCTTACTCCACGTATTGTAGACGACGCATAAGTCCCAGTCTACAATAGATGATTTAAGTCCTAAGCTTTAAAGAAATTGACTAATCACAGTCGCGTATTCTACTCATACTTGACCGTGATTGGTTTCTTAAAGCTTTTTTAGCTTTGAAGCAATTTCTTAAAGCTTGGGGCTTAAATCATCTATTGTAGACTGGAACTAAAGGATCGTCCACAGTAGGTGAAGTGAGCCTGGCGTAAGAAGTAAGAGTAGGCGTAAAGAAATGCATCATTTCCATTTCATACTTCTACTTCGCCTCTGACGCTTACTCTCGGTGAATTAGAGTGCATAGTTCGACCAGAGCTATAAATATTTAAAAAATTTATGCCTGTGCTTTAGCTTTCACACTGAAGTCTACAATACATGGAGTCAGCTGGAGTAAGGAGTAGGAGTAAGGAAATAAATCCATTTTATTTCTTACCCCTACTTCAGCTCTTAGGCTTACTCTCGGTGAATCAAAATGTGCCGTCAATCAGTGTTACAAATATTTTAAAAACCATGTCTGTATTTCAGCTTCCTCACACCAAAAGCTAGAAGTTAGGGCTCTCCCTTACTCCTTACTCCACGCTCACTCCACGTATTGTAGACCAGCGCTGATAAGTACCAGTCTACAATAGAAATTTAAACCCTAAGCCTTAAGAAATTGACTAATCACAGTCGCGTATTCTACTCATACTTGACCGTGATTGGCCAATTTCTTAAAGCTTAGGGCTTAAATCATCTATTGTAGACTGGGACTAACTCCTGGTCAACAATCTTGCTTTAAGTAAGCTGTGAACCTTAAACCGTAAGAAATTAACCAATCACATTTATTGCCTTCACTCTCACCTGTGATTGGTTAATTTCTTACGGCTTAAGGCTTACAGCCTACTTAAAGCGAGATTGTGGACCAGGGGTAAAGGTTACGGTTTTCTTCCGTCTTACTGCTTACTTCCAATGTAGACGGTCCTTAACGCGTCGTCCACAATAGATTTGTTTTCTGTTCCTGCACTGGCGAACTAGTGCAGTAAGCTGGAATAAGAAAAATACACTTGTCTTACTTTAACTTATTGCACTAGTTCACCAGTGTAGCAACAGAAAACGAGCCTTATGCGTGGAGTGAGCCTGGAGTAAGGAGCAGAAGTAGGAGTAAGGAAGTCAATCAATTTTATTTCTCACTTCTGCGTCAGCTCTTACGCTTGCTCCCGGCGAATCAGATCGCCACCGGCCGTTGTTACGAATATTTTAAAAATTATGCGTGTCTTTTAGCTAAACTTTCAAATACCCATTTCTTTTTTATTAGACTTCTGAACTGCGTGTTTTAAGTATGAAAATGTTCCGCTATGCGGTCCGCAAATATGACCTAGTGTCATGTTGTGCATAAAAGCCAGTAAAAAGATTACAAGTGTAAAAACAATATTCAAACGTGTCGGTAAAAACGATGACTTTAGGATCCTCTTAAGACACAAGACAGTAAAGCCAACGGCACACGATACTATTTTTCCTACTGGATTGCTTACGAGAACCAATCAGGATTTAAGCCAACGGCACACAATACTATTTTTCCTACTGGATTGCTTGCGAGAGCCAATCAGGATTTAGCCTTAAGTCACCTGATCTAACACTCTGCATCCTTATTGGTTCTCGTAAGCAATTCAGTAGGAAAAATAGTATCGTGTGCCGTTGACTTTAGCTTTAAGCCATCTAAAACTCTGCATCCTTATTGGTTCTCGTAAGGAATCCAGTAAGAAAAATAGTATAGTGTAACGTTGTCTTTATTGAGCGTTACGTTAAACTCTAATCTACAGTGTGCTCTTTGCGTCTAGAAGCATTCTATTTTGTAGCGACTAAATACGTTTGAAAAATGCGTGCGAGTTGATAAATTGTACATTATTCGCTGTACGATCGTACGTTGTCGACAATTAAAGCGTTTCGATTTGCTTATATAAAACCGCATGTTTCTAGACGCAGAGAGCACATGGTAGATTAGGCGTAAGACAAAGATTTAAAATATAAAACATTGTCTTAAGAGTACAAGATGGCTATTCTGCTCTCTCAGGCCCTAACCGATCAGGCTTACTAAAGAGAGACGCACCATGTCCTCATATTACCTGCCTCTCATTCTACTCTTGCGGGTCCTGCGATCAGCAGTTCATTCTACTTATATGTCGATGGTTTCGTCCTCGTCTTGCACCTCAGAAATTGCATCGATCGATTTTTCTGAGCAACGACCGAAGAAATCGTTTTTTTTTTGTTCTTATCTTGCGCGAATTGTAATATTCTCGTTAACGTGTTGGGTCATGAATAATGAGTTTTCCTTAGAGACATTTTTAAGACGAAACAAAAAGAAAGTTGACATTTTAACTTCAATCGAAAATATATCTTCCGTTATTCGGTTTTAAGCTATAAATCCAGCTTTTACTCCGCATTATTTATGGAATGACCCAATAATTAATCGTTCGGAACAGCGAATTGAAGCAAACTGAATATCGAGAAATGCACGCGCTAATTTTCGCGCGAATATCGCGACGGAAGAAGAGAAAACGCTCGGTGAGTGCCGCGATATCTCGTATAAACTTGATAGAAAGCCGAGAATTTTGTTGTCAGAAGTCGCGATCAGAAAATAGAAAGCAACTTCTGCACGCCAAACGGTGCGCTCTATTCAATTTTCATCTTATCTAAAAGATACATACGCATAAAGCACATCGGGTTGGCAAGCCGTACATTCTTTTATTCATGAATTCTCCGACGAACTCTTTTAAAGTCGAGTCCCTCTTGAAAATTTTTGCAACTCGCACGAGTAACGAACGGGAAGCAACGAGCCGTCCGATAATTAAGCCTCGAGTGCGTGAACGAATAGCAAAATCTTCCTTCTCGAGTCACTTGAGCTAAACGCAAAAAAGAGATAAATAAAAAGTAAAAACTGTCGACCAATTCTTATCGAAAGACTTGGATTTCAGATTGATCGAAAACACTTCTAATCTGTCGCGAAATTAGTGTTGATTACAAAACTCGGACGACGTAAATCCTTGTATAAAATAATATTAGAATACGTATAATCAGGTTTCGGTGTCGCTTGTATTCTGAATTTGGAAGTGCTGTATATTATTCGCGCGCGCGCGAGAGAGAGATGACAAAATTATACATGCAACATACAAGACCGGGTTGATTCTCGCCGGGTGCATCGGAAAGTTGATTATGTCCCCCGTTTGTTAACTCGCTGCACTCGCGCCACATGCATTCGCATTTCGATATCACGTGAAATATTTATTAGCGCGCGGTTCACCTTGTTTATTCCCGCGCTTCGTTATGCAGGTAACGGACAGAATAATTCACGATTCGCTTTAACGGCTCCTTGCCCGGCTACCTTGTGGAAGCTCCGAAAAATTATCAGTTACGACACGCATAAATTCACCATACAAACCCGGAGTTTATGATAATTCAGTTACCGCGTGGAAACCCCAAAAAAATTATCAGTTCCACACCGCGTAAATTCATATTGCAAATCCGGAGTTTATGATAATTCAGTTAGCTTATCTAAGCTCCCAAAAATTATCAGCGTCTTAAAGCGCACATATTCAGAGGAAACTCCTCTATTACGAGATACGCTTCTAATGCGAGAGAGCAGGTTTTCAACATCCACGTTCAATCGCGAGTCTCTTTTCGCAACGATTGCACGATTTTAACTTAGTTTTATTCAATTTAATTTATTTATATTACTGCAAAAAGCGAGCTACAGGGAAGAGAGGTAACACTGAGAGACCGAAAGCAAAAGGTGAGGCACCAACAGAAAGTTGTTGTACGGTCTGAACAGATTTCGCTCCAAGAGCAATAAATTCATGGTGGAGCCAACAGATGATGCCTATTAATTTAGCAGAAACCTCTCTATCTCGTTAGGAGACCATCTCGCAAAAAAAAATGAGGGGACTTTCCTCCATATTA